AATCTCACCCATTCATCTATCACATAATCGTTCAAATATAATATCATCTCAATTCAGAAATGGTCATATTTTCATACAGATTTACTAGCTGAAGAAGTATTATTTAGGATAACTGAAGAACTGTAAGATTAAGCTATATGTCATTACTAATGAGATAAGCTCATATCTAAAATAAAACGTATATATAAAAATAGATGACATGTTTTAGGGGAAATAGGATGAGTTTTAAGTATTTCTTTTAATGTACGAGAAGCAAAAAGATAGAAAGAGATAGAATATAAAGTATAATCGATAATTTTGAATAAACAAAGGTCATTATTAGCTAATATAAAACATGTTAGTGAAGATGAAAGTTTTGCGAAAACATTCAAATGAATATGGATATCGTTTGAATCATTCACGATCAGGTTCATATATGATAGTCATGCTCATCAGATGTCTTGATTACGGGTATACGGCAACTAGTCGAAAGAAAATTAGTCGAACGACGATTGGGCGGCGACAACTCATCGAAAGGACAATTGGTCGATACGATAATTAGTCGAATAGAATGTTGGTCGTAACGTGTTACAGCCCATACAGTGAGACACTAATTTTTTCTTATATCTCAATTAATTTATCAGAACAATCTGAAACATCAATGTTTAATTTGTTGAAAGAAAAATAAAGGATATAGAATTGGATCATTGTTTGAAAATCTATTATTAGATAATCGGATTTGATAAACCTATTGAGAGATCTTTAAAAGGGAAGGACATATTGTCAATTGCATTGATTCAAAAATATCTACTCATATTATTAGTAAAACAGAACGAAAACATCCGCTATTGATATACAAAGGATTCAATTATACAATCGATACAACTAAGGAAACAAAGGTGTATTGGAAATACGAATATTGTCGAACAATTAAATACAAAGGTAGAGTTCACACGAATTTAAATTATTCAACGATTTTAATGGAAAATGATAATCATAATCATCATGGAAGTGCTGTTAATAATGAAGTTAGATTATTCAACGACAAATTATATTCTCGTGCTATTAGTACAACTGAAAGTACTCAACATGTAATTGATTATAGTTTAAATGGTGTATCTGATCAGATGGTTGCACGTTTACCTAGTTTTAAACATATTAAACGAAATATTCAACGACAACGTTTAGAAAATGATTTACCACCTATTCCTCATGATACAAATTTTACTATGATACCAACGTCTTTAACTTTAACTAGCAAAAATGATAAATTTTTACAATTTGATTCTGGACCTGGCGATAATCGTTTAGTTATATTTGCTTCTTTTAATCAATTAGAAATTCTTGAACAAAGTAAAGAGATACTAATTGACGGCACATTTAAAGTAATTATATCATTTTATTATAAACTAAAAGAATATTAAAGTACTTTATTGATTTTCGGCAACACCATCAATATTTACTCAACTATATACGATACATGGAGTCTATCGGAACGGAGTGTTTCCTTTAGTTTTTGCATTACTTACTGATAAACGACAACTAACTTATGAAAGATTAATTGATGAATTATGTCGTTTATGTCCTTCATGGAACCCTACGTCTGTGATGGTAGACTTTGAAAAAGCAGCTATCAATGCATTTCAAAAACGTTTTGGTACAACAACAAACCCATTACCAATATCAGCTTGCTTTTTCCATTTACAAAAAAGTATTCAACGAAAATTACAGGTTAGCTTATTTTTTTAACACATTCAGCTTCAACTTTATCGTCTTTTTTGGGATCTTGGATTAAAATCTAATTATGAAAATGATTCTCAATTTGCTTACGATGTTAATAAAATAGCAGCATTAGCATTTCTTCAATGTCAAAATGTTAGTCAAGGATTTGATGATCTTTATACATCTTTATCATCTGTTCATGAACCACTATTAAATTATTTCGAAGACACTTATATCGGGAGAAGACGACCAAATGGACGTGCAAAGCCAAGATATCCTATCGAATTATGGAACATGCACGAAAGAACTATTAATGGAGCAATGCGTACTAACAATCAAGCTGAAGCTTGGCATCGACGTTTTAATTCTGCTATCGAATGTGAACATCCATCTCTTTGAGTTTTTATTAAAAGTCTTCAAAGCGAGGAGAACTATATTCATTGTCAAATTGTTAAAACTAATGCTGGTCAGGATTCATCTCAATCAAGAAATATTTTGATTACAACAAGCGGTTAAAAAACTTGATACTCGCTCCACATTCAACATTACTTAAACAAATAGAAGGGCTAGCACTTAATTTATGAGTTTAACTTATTGTTAATTTTTTTGTTTTGTGTAACATTTTTGTTATTAAATAAACTAGAATATGGCTATCTCATATACGACTAATTTTTTGTAGACCAATTATCGTATCGACTAATTGTCCTTTCGACGAATTGTCGCCGCCCAATTGTCGTTCGACTAAGTTTCTTTCGACCAGTTGTCGCTTTCCCCTTGATTACTTCTGAATATTTCTAAAATCTGAGATAGTGTTGATTATCTTTCAGTAATCAATTATCACTACCTGCTTCGTATATCAGTAATGTCATTATCTGATAGTTCTAATTCAATATCATTGAGTTCTAATGTAATATCGTTTACAATGGAATCAAAGTTTTCTTCATTCGAAGTATATGAAAATTCATCACTTCCAATAGAAGCAGTACTTGCAGTAACCATTGTTGCTGTTCTTGCACGTTTTGAATACTTGTTTTTAGATTGTGAAGTACGAGAGCTTCTCAAAACATCAAGTTTTCGAAGACGTTGAGTGAAATAATAGCCCATAGACAAGAGTACGCTTGTGTTACGATCCATGTTATACATTAGATCATACATGTCTCTCTCTTCTTTCTTTTCTCTGTCGATTGTTGTTTCTTTCCTTTCGTTTCTTTTCTTTTCTCTCTCTCTGTCCTTCATTCGTTCGTCGTGGTGTATGTGTGAAAGTCGATCGTGTATTAAATATTTACGAACCGAAAATAAACATCAGGAGAGGACAGGACATTAACAGTGGCGACCCTGACTTGAATTTTTTACACGGTCGATTCTTTTTTCAATTTTCACATTTTAATTATGCCGATACACATACATAACGAAGGTGAATCAACAAATGATACTGATCCTCAACCTACGTCACAAGCTACAACAAATGAATCGAATGGAAATTCATCATCATCAACAAAACCAAATAATGAAAACAAATTTTTTGTACCTGATGAAAATTCTCCATCAGCAAATGAAGAAAAACCAGCACTTTAAGAAGTACTTCGTCGTGATGTGAAGTCATTCAATGGTTATGATGATGCTCGTCAGTGGTTCAGACATATTCATTCAAAATTTTCTGAATTAAACTTAACATTTAATGAACGATTCGATATGATTCCTTATTTTTTTGAAAATAATTTTTCTATTTGGTATACATTAAATCAAGATAAATTTGAATCATATGTCCATTTATGCCAATTATTTGCTCTCGAATATTTTGGTCTTGAAAAATCTGCTTATCCTGATGCTGATGGTAATCGTAAACAATTAAATAAATCTTTTTTATTACATTCACCTGTTCTTGTTAATGAATTTATACGTGATGATTTAATAAATACTCCACTTGAAAAACCTGCAGCAGCTGCTGCTGATAAAGGTCTATCATCTCATTCACATGGTAATCGTTTATCTAATTCAATTTTATCTTCGACAATTACAAAAGCTTTAGTAGATAAATTCATAAAAGATCCATTGAGATTTTCAGCTGGTAAAGAAAATGTGATCACATGGATTGATGAAATCGAACAACAGTTTAATATGATGCATTTAGACAATGTAGATAAATTAAATCTAATTCATATTTGTCTCAAAGGTGATGCATTACAATCAGTGGCGTACGCAGGGGGCCGGCCGAGGGGGCCCGGGCCGGTCCCTAGAGGTTTGTTGGTGAATTTTTTTCAACGATAGTTTTGATACTGATAACGATACTTTCACAGGTATTATGCTTTTTTATGTGTTAGTTTGGAATAAGGCGTATCAAAAATTATTGTTCTTAATATATTTTTTATCATATTCAATAATATAGCTCTCATCGTAGTATTCGAATAATAAACTTTGTTTTAATCTTTACATAAAGAGAATTATACTGCGAGTTTTTCAGATCAGATGAGTAGACAACTAAGTCTCCAAGAGTGTTTTTCAAGTGCAAACAAGAGAAGACGTCATTCTGACGAAGATATTGCATCTTCCACATTACCATCGTCATCAGTTCTTACGTCACCATCATCGATTTCTCCATCTATAGCAATTGCATTAGCACCAACAATGATGTCGACACCATCACAATTAACATTATCAACAACAGAGCCAACAACACCACCGGTATTTCACTTACAAGGAGCAGTGTCGTTGTCGACTCCAACGAAAATCTCTGAACCCTCTATCATCGACGAGCAAGACCGTGATTCTTGCGTTCTACCAATTATCTCTTCGAATTCGACAGTTGCAACTCCATCACTTATCGATGTATTTGATCCTAACGATATCGGTTAGTCACTGTCAATAAACAATAAAAAATAATCTGATGTGCTTTTCGTTTGTTTATACTAAAGGTCATTTTGTCGGTATCTCCCTAACTGAACATGATGCCACTAGAATATATGATGTACTCAAGAAACCTTGGATTCCATCATCATCTTACAAGTATCCAAAAATTGATCTTAAAGGACACTCTCGTTCAGTATGTGTTCCAAAGTGGCTAGTTGACTTTCCATGGCTCTCATATTCAGCTAAACTTAATGGTGTTATGTGTCGATATTGCGTTTTATTTCGACGCACATCTTCTTATGCTGATCCAGCCCAAAATCAACTTGGTCATTTAGTAAATAAGCCACTTTCCGGTTCCTTTCTCAAAGAAGCAACGACCTATTTGAGGAACCACGAAAGGACACAATATCACAAGTATTCAACAACGCAAGCCAACGAATTTATTATTCGTCGTACAGATCCAAACTTGGATATTGATAATTTGCTGAACGTTGCCGATCTGAATCAACAAATGGAAAACAGAGAAATATTAGTGAGCATTGTGAAATGTCTTTTGTTTTTAGCTAGTCAAAATATGGCATTACGTGGTCATGATGATGATGGACTACCATGTGATATAAATCTACATCAAGGCAATTTCAAAAACTTAATTGCTTTTCGTGCTGAAGCGGGAGATACTGTTCTTGTCAAACATCTACAAACGTGTGCGAAGAATGCCAGTTATTTGAGCCCTCGAATCCAAAATGAATTGATCATACTCTCAGCTCGAATTGTGCGAGCGAAACTTATCCGTGAACTTATCGAGAAGCGACTTTTTTATTTGTTGTTGGCTGATGAAACATCAGATATCTCCGGTCGTGAACAACTGTCAATATCGGTCCGATACGTCTCGTCGGAACCTGACGCTAGTGGTGAATTCATTCATGAAGTTTTTTTGGGCTTTATTCCTCTGGAAAACCTTACTGCGATTGCCGTGGCCAATAAAATGTGCGAGTTTTTGAAAATTATTGGTCTCAGTATTGATCTTATTAGAGGTAATATTCTACACTAAAGATTTCTTCGTTGTATTGTGATACTTTGTGCAAAGGTACATCCGATGAGTTATGTTATGTTAGATATTTCAATAAAAGAAAGAACTTGATGATTTTTCAGAATTTTCAAAGATGTTTTCTTTTCTAGGACAAGGTTATGATGGTGCTCATGTAATGTCTGGTCGATTAGGTGGTGTCCATAAATTAATTTCCGATCAATCTCCACGAGCAATATACATACATTGCTCGAACCATTCTCTTGATCTAGTACTCAAGAATTCATGCGATGAATCCAATGTAAAATCGTTTTTTGGTACCATTAAAAGTATAATCAAATTTATCAACAAGTCTCCAAAACGAAAAATGATGTTTAAAGTTGCTGTGGAAGCGACAGTTTCCAATCAAAAACATCAACATCATCACACCCTCATCAAAATGTGCGAAACACGGTAAGAATGCAGAAGATTGATCTATTTTTTCAATTCGATGTGATTTCTTTCAAAATATAGTTGGATCGACAAACAATCGGCTATTCTAGTATTCAGACAACTATTCGGTTCGATACTAATTGTACTCGAACATTTGGCTGCACATGGTGATAGTGACACATCAGCTCTTGCTGCTGCATACTACAAATCAATCTCATCAGACATCGAGTTTATCACTCCACTTATCATTGTCTCTCGTGTCTTTGCACTCACTAAACCATATACTGAAAGTCTTCAATCACCAACGTGTGATATTGTTGAATGTTATGATAACATTGAAGAACTTACATTGTATTTAGTAGAGCTTATGAATAATGACAATATGGACAAATTGCGCGATGATCTAGTTCAATTTGCGTTGGATCATGACATTCCATATCAATTGTCACGTCGAAAGAAAACGACACCACGTTCATTCTTCGACTTAATCTATCAATCTTTTATCTCCAGTGCAGTTGATGAACTAGGTCCACGGTTTTCTGCTCACCAAAAACTTGCAGCGAAAATTTCAAAATTGATGCCCAACAATGTCAAAGAAATTGAATTTGACGACGTGAAGAATACGTTTGAATTTTATAAAGAAGATTTAATTTCGGATAACTTCCTGGTGCTTGAAAGTGAATTTGAAATGTGGCAAAATATGTGGCGAAAACGTTCCGATAATAACTTACCATCTACTATTGGTGAAGTTCTTAAATTAACGTATAGTCAACGTGACTTCTATCCAAACATATATCGTCTTCTGACTATCTTTGCTACTTTACCGATTTCTGTAGCCACTGCTGAGCTATCGTTTTCTGTCTTGAAACTCGTAAAAACTTATCTCAGAAATTCTATGGGTGATGAACGACTTAGTGCTCTGGTATTACTACATGTTCACAAAGGTCTTACATTGACAACTGATCCAGAGGATATTGTTGCTGAATTTGCTAAGGGAAATTGACGAATCAAACTTTTTTAATTATGACACACATAAAACAGTTTTTTGATGGTTCTACTAGTAACTTTATTAGTTTTTTTTTAAATGATGTTGTTTTTTTTGTCTGATA